CATATTAGCCCTCCACTCTACATCCTCTTCCTTCTCTCTCTCTCTCTCTCTCTCTCTCTCTCCCCCCTCCATAATACATTTGATGAAAAAGAGAAACACATTTTTAAAAAAAAAACCTAACATGAAAATGACCCTCACTATCAGAGTCATTTTGTTGACTTATTTGTCTTTCATTTATACTGGGAGTAAATTAGGAGTAACTGATATCAGTGGAGTTGCATTGTTATAATACCGGTGGAAGAGGAGCATCAGGTCCACTGAGCCTTATTTGTTATGTGGAATTTACACCTATTATAATGTTAATGAATTGATAGTGACAAGGGTGATTATACTATCTTCACAACAAATACACTAAAAGGGAGTTTTATAATTGGTAAACAAATTGATAGAATTATACAAGTGTAAACACTAAATTTTTAAAATCAAAGTCAAAGTTGCTAGCAAGTTGCACCTGATGAGTTACTTTTGTAAACATACTGTTGTGTTCTTGGTGTGTAAAACCTTCGCTTCTCATCTTTCTTATACAGGATGACTGGACCACCGAGAATATTAAAATACCAAAAATTCAACTGCAAAGCCAAAGTTTTGCGCAATCACAGTCACCTGGTGAAGTAGAAGTTTACAGGTATGCTGTGCTTTTGTCAGACCTTCTTTTCTCATTTTCTCTCCAGACTTGGTCCTTGGCTTAGAGGGTGAAAGAATCACTATGTAACTTTATCAGTGGTATAGGAATTGCCATACAGGATCAAATCATTAATCCATCTAGTCCAATACCCTACCTCTAACAGTAGCCAGTACCAGATATTTCAGAAAATGCAGGAAACCCATAGTGCACAATTTTGGAAAAACCTGTCCAAAGGGGAAGTTTCCTCCTTACTCCCATCCACCCAGGATTGGCAGCTGCCTTGAAACCTGAGAGTTTCTGTCTCTCTCTATAGATTGGAATAATGTGACTCTTCTTTCTCTTGTCTGGTGTATAAATGTCCAGTGCTTTGTTGAATCCTCAATGGCATCTATACGTGATAAGTTCCACTGGCTAATTATGTGTTGTATAAAAAAGTATTTCCTCTTATCAGTTTAGAATCTTTCAATTTCATTGAATTTTCCTTATTCTTGAATTACGATAGGGTAAACAGAAACATATGATTTATCTCCTCTAAATCATGTATTATTTTGCATACCTCTGTTATATCTTTTTTTATTCATCACTCCTCTAAACTATATTGTCTCATCATACTAAAGTCCCTCCATGCCTCTCTAATCATTTTCAGTTCCCATTTTAGATCCCCTTCTAAATCAGATTAAACTTATAAGAACAGGTACTATGCTTGATCTTCTCTCATAGAGAGCCGAGAACTGATGTAAACTAAGTAAATTTTATTTCTAATCACAGTTGAATTCCATTTGCTCAAGTTATGGCTTTGCACAAACATCTGAACAAATATTCTTTATTGTTATAGTCCTTCTTTTACATCCTCATTGCCTGGTCCAGTGGCTCTTCCCCTCATTACTCCACTACCTGCTTTTTCCTTCTACTCCCAGCCTGCACTCCCCTTACCTCTCCAGGCTTTTTTCTTTTTTTTTAAGGCACAAAGCAGAATCTAACAGTTCTGTGACATTTTCTTTTAAGGATCATTGAAGTTCTAAGATATCTAAGTGTATTCAGGGGTTGCTATTATACCTGTTGCATTAGCATTAATTGTACTTTTGAATCTTTATATGCATATTATAATTTAGCAGCTACTGACTAGGTTGATCAGATACATTGTTTTAGAATTGAGAGTTTGGGAAAACTGGTGGGTTTTTCTCCTTTTGAACACTGTTCTTTGTCCTCTCATAACTCAAACCTGTTGTTGCAAATACTTCAGGATTGTTCTGTACATTAATGTTCCATGAGAACTACCACATAGGACTAAATTTACCAAGTTAGAGTCTAAATCTTCAATTACTAGGTAATCTTAGTGTTTTCCAGATATCTATGAGGTTTGTCAAATGTTAAATTTTGTTCCACCTAATCTAAGCTCTCATTAAAAACAAAAAGTTAAGTTTCTAGCCCTTTTCTTTCTGAAGCTAAATTCCAAAATAGATCACTAGACTTGTAAATTAATAATGGTGACTTTTCTCCAAAAATCATAGGTTTATTTGTGATTTTTTTTTGGGGGGGAGGGGAAAAAACCACAAATCCCTCAGTTAGCTATGCTCTCTCCCCTTCTTCCTCCTCCCCCACAACTGCCAGACACCAGAGCTCCTACCTCCAGGTTCTGCAGTAATAGAATCTTCACTCCCCTAACATGAGGTAGGCAACTGGCAGCACAATATTCTCCCCTTGCAGGATTAACAGGTAGAGAGGTATCTCTTTTCTTCCATCACTAATTGAGTGGAAAGATGAGGAAAGTCAAAAGACTCAAAAGAAAAGCATAGAAAATCCATGACACTTGTGAGCATGATGACAAATTTACTTCCCTACCCATCACTTAAGATTAGGGTGTATCTGCATTTAGAATACAGCTGAATAGGACAAGATGATAGCAGTACATTACCAGAGCCACGCGTAACTCCAACTTCCTTTAAGGAAGAGGAGCATAGCTATCAGCCTTTTGGTCCTTAGTACAGGCTTGCTCTCATATATAAATATACCAAAATTGTCAAGATATACTTATCAAAGATTAACTCCTAGCTAAATTAACCAACTACATCAGTTCATTCTGTGCCCTGAGCATATTTATGATACTTAAGAGAGAGAGAGAAGCTTCCAGTACAAACACTGTCAAACCACATAACCCAAATTTGTGGTATATACATTTTACATGGCTAGACTTGCATTCATTTGAAAAATGTTGTGTGGTAATGGCCTACAATATCTCTAGCTGTCTCCATTTTTTCTCAAAAAAATTAATCTCTCTTCTCATTTTTGGCTAAATTATGTAAAGCCTATATATTCCAGGAGAAAACCTCCTGTATAACTTTTTTAAACAACATTATCAAAATATTAAGTAGAATTATTCCTGAAGAAAATTTATTGTTGAAAGCTGGTTTTGTTACCAGAGAGCCATTGCTTTGGAAATTGAATGTCACAAAAGGTTATTAGTTATTTGACTAGATCATCTAAAATTGCCAGATTATACTTTAAGTATCTTTCCATTCAAATGGCAAATGAGAGGAATATAGAAAGATTTGGTCAGTGTTTCTTGAGCTCTGTGGTTAGTATTCTTGCTTTGATTTTATATTTAGTCTAATATGGACCATATTTAATAAGTATTATCTTTGTGAAATTTTTATTGTGTTGATTTTTAAAATGTGATATTAATAAATCATTATATATATCAGGGGTGGCCAAACATGCTGACCCTCCAAGCCACATATGACAATCCTCAGCTAAAGCCCTAAGACCGCTCTCCCCCATAGGCAGAAGCCAGAGGCAACATGTGGGAGGGCTCATCAGGTCATTTGTACCCGCCCCAGATTTTTGCAGGGTTTGCTGGCCCTGCTCAGTCGCATGGTGCCTCAAGGCCCCCTCCCTGCACAGCAGCGGTTGGAGCCAGCAAACCGGGAGCTGCGGCTGTGGGGAGAGGCAGCTGCAAACAGCTGGGAACTGTAGGGAAAGCTCCTGCTTTTGCTGCTGCCTCTCCCTGCAGCGCTAAAGCAGCGGACCCCTCCCTGCAGTTCTCAGCAGTTTGCCACTGCTGCTCCACCTGGAGCTAACACCTGGGAGTTGCAGGGAGGGGCCACTGAGGGCAAGGGAGGGGCATGCCTGGGGGGATGGAAACCTTTAAATTATGCCTCCCTACTCTCAGCTGGCACCAGTCATCTCTGGCAGAAGCCCGTAGTCTCACAACCCCGCCACAGGTCAGAAGCCCCAAACTTCCCCCCCTCACTCCCCACAGTCTGGTAGGTAGAGAATGGGGAGGGTCTGGGTGGCTTTGCGAGCCACACTTTAACGTAAAAGAGCTACATTCAGCTTGAGTCACGGTTTGGCCACCCCTGATATGTATTATGGTGGTACCCACAGGCCAAAATTGGGATTTGGGCCTCATTGTGCCAAATATAGAGGTAGATATGGTCTCTGCTCCAAAGAGCTTACAGTCAAAGGGAACTACTCACATCCATAAACGTACTTATATGCTTAAGAGTTGGCAGGAATGGGGCCTAAAAGTGAAGTGAAATGTCAAAAATAAAAAAAGCTTATGGTGATTGTTTTAACTCAACACATACAAATACTGTGTCATCATTTACAATTATTTATATTTTGATTAGACATTGCAAATATTTTTAAACCCTGTTTGTTTAATTCTGATAGCTATATACCACATCGGCCATCAGGAAGACCAGTTCCAACAGCAGACAGTTCTTTCAGCCTCCAATCTCCTCAGCGTAACCAGTTTGGCTATCAGAACAGTCATATTCCTAATGTGGATTATGAAGAGGACAACCCCATTCCAGCTATGTCTGGGAGGCAATTTCCTGTACGTATAAACTATCTCAAGCACACATGAAAGGTGTCTTATACAATCTTGCAACCTGACACTTGAGAATAAGCTGTCATACAATCCTGTATACATTATATGTGGCTAGACTTGCATTCATTTGAAAAATGTTCTGTGTGTTAAAGGCTTACATCTCTAACTTCTGTGTTTTTTATCTCAGAAATCTTATATCACTATTCAGTCTAGGCTAGATTGTGAAAGCCCCTTTTTGAGGGTTTTATCCCTGTGTGAGCC